AAATAAATAAATAAATTTTTAAAAAAAGAAACAAAAATCACGAAATCCTAATTACACTTAGCTATTATATATTTATTCTCAATCAGTTCTGTTTACACAACCCAAAGTAAACTTTATATAGTCTGTATTTTTCCATTACTGGTAGCACTGTATAATGTGTCAAAACAAAATGGATAAGGAAGCTAGTACACTTACAGTCACTGATACTCATTATACTCATCTGCAAAGGGATAGTGTGTCTCTGCCACAGAAAACCTTCAATCAATACAAACCGTGATAAGAAGAACGCAGCGTGCCAGAGATCCCTGAAGACAGCACCAACACCATAAGAGCTGCTTGGGCTGTGGCTCTGGACAGCTCCTTCCTGTGTATTATCTGTGGTACTAGAGCCATCTCCTTCCCTGTGCACTTCCAAATGAGCTGCTTTCCTCAATTTCCTTTATCAGAAGAGATTAAGAGTGGTAGGTAGTTTTAAATTTTTCTTGATATGGTAGTACATTCAAAACTATGAAAAACATAAACACAGGAACTATGTTACAAAATAAAATTCAAATTTACTGGATAAAACATCATCCAAATATGGTACATGTTCAATTCTATATACCAATTTTTATAAATGTTAAGGTATTGTTCCTGGCTCATCCTGATAGGTCAGTCTGGTTGTAAGGATCGCTCTCGACAGATACTTATAAAAGCATTTCTTCCCTATTTGAATGACACTTATCTGCAGATGAAGAAAGAAGAGAATTTAGATTGGAGAGAATTATAATCTAACTAATGATCAAAACAATTTATCTAATATAGATATTATCTTTCTAAAAAGAGATGGACTTAAGTCTCAATAAACAAAAGTTGTCACAATCTTTTAGCAATGACATTCAAACAAAAAATTCCTCCAAAAGACCCTAAAAACAGAATCCCACTGTACTTAATGACCAGAGATGTGCTATATTTATTTATTGGGAATTAAAATGCTTTTAACAGTATTTAATAAAGACAGCTACAATTTTTTTTTCTTGGCTTGTATTTTTGCTGAGGCATCACAGAAATACAAAATGTAAGCAGAAAAAGATATTCTAGCAATTCCAGCTAACATATATTCCTGACACCAGTCTTAGGTCACCAGAAATGAGTTTCAAACCAAAAACAAACACACATGCACATGGGCTAAACTGGCCTTGAAGCAAGTACAGGGCAGGGGGTGGGGATGGTAACTGATTCTGGGGCTCCACGCTTTGTTAGATTTAAAAGAGGAACTACCAAACAACATTTTATTGCACAAAAGTCAGAGTTGAGAACAACCCTGGATTGAAATGACAGAACTCTACAAAAAGATCCCTGTCCACCAGACAGCACAGTACCTTCTTCTTTTACCGCTCGTACTCAGAGGTGGCTTGGGTGTCCTCGTAGACACGATCTGACAATGCACCGTTCCCAAGAGCAGCATCAGCCATATGGGCCCAACCACTTCGGTCAGAGGTATGCTGTGTGTGCTGGAAGTGGAGCAGAACAACACTACTGCAGCAACTGCAAGAGGCAAAGAAAACAGCTAATTGTGGACCCGATAGGTACTTTTTAAACTGCACTTACATACTCCTGCCAGATGCCTGATCTAAATTTAAACAAGTTTAAAATGTCTTTGTTAGGTCTGGCCTGATAGCTCAGCAGACTAAAGCGCCTGCTCAGGCAGAGCACAGAAGCTGGGGTTCAATCCCTGGTGTGATTGAGACTGGGTGTGGTAGTGCGTGCCTGTAATCCCAGTACGTGGGAAGCTGAAAACAGGAGAATCACTACAAGTCTGATCTACATAGTGAGACCCTGTAGACCTTGTAGACCCTGTCCTAAATACAGAATAAATACATAAATACATAAATACATAAATAAATAAGAAAGAAAGATGTCTACGTTACACATTGTTTATCACACGACTTAACAATGGAATTTAGTAACTCATTCTTGGAACAAGAGGACACTCATGACAGGCCCTGAAGTATACACCTCAACAGTGCAGCAAAAACTAGATGCACGTAGATTTAAGGGAGCCTCAGGTTACCTCACCATCAAAAGAACCATACCAACCTCAAGTACATTTATTACTGTTTCAAAAACAAGGAAGTCGGGGCTGGAGAGATGGCTCAGTGGTCTAAAGCACCTACTTGAATCAAGCTTGGC